TCTGTTAGTGCCCCTAAGTTATGGAACGCTCTGCCTTTGCACATTCGGCAGGCCCCTTCACTGTCCATTGTTAAAACCCATCTGAAAACTCATCTCTACTCATTGACCTTCAACCCAAATGAGACTTAATTTTATTTCATTTTTATTGGTATTGATTTTATCTGTTCAACTTTTCATTCAATTTAGACAGGTAATCCCATTGAGCCTCGAGGACTCATTTACAAGAAAGACCTGATTTCAACAAAGAAAGATGACAACTTGTCATTTTATTGTATTTTAAACTGAGTTTTTAGTTCATTGTGTGCTTGGCTTTGTAGCTTTGTTTTTATGCTTTCTTTTATCTTGTTTTTAACTGATGTTCAGCACTTTGTTTCAGCTGTGGCTGGTGTTAAAGCGCTTTATAAATAAAGATGATGATGATGATGATGATGATGATGATGATGATGATGATATGAATGTTTCTGTTCAGTGCCCTGAGATGACTTCTGTTGTGACTTGGTCCTTTATACAGTAAACTGAATTGAATTAACTATAGAACATTTGACCCTGATTTGTGACCTTGAAGATGTGGTGGTGAAAAATGTATGCAACACTCCATTTAGTGATGATGTGTGTATGAATTTTTGTAAAATTATCTTGAGCGGATCAAAAGTTACGGTCCAGATTAGCAAAGGCCTTGTTTTAACTTTGACCTTGATTTCTGACCTTGACCTCAGGTGAGCTAAGGTGATGGAAAGTGCACTCAACACTCAATGAGGGATGTGATCTCTTGTGTGTGACCTTGACCTCTCAAAGTGGCTTCAAACATCTGCTAAGTTCATGGAAAAAACCAATGCAGACATGTTCCTGTTTTTAGTATTTTATATCGCTTTATAATGTAGCAGTTTTTGTTTAATTTTTTTTACATCATATCTTCCTTTTTTAAATTGATATGCCTTCTTTTATGATTGTCCACTGTTGTTATCACTCTTTGTGTAAAACAGATCTCTCTTGTAAGAGTCCTTGAGGCTCAGTGAGACTAACCTGTATAAATAAAGGTTGAATGAATGTGTATGAAGCTTTGTAAATTTATCTTCAGCATGTCAGAAGTTATAGGTGGAACATGAGAATGTTTACAGACGTACAGAGACCATACCATAATATATCCTGCCTTTGGCGGGCGTATAAAAAGTGGTTACATTCTGGGATTTCTGAAGGTGCCACCTGTCGTTCTTGGCTAGTTTAAAGGCTGACCAGAACCCAGAATTCAGAGAACTAAAGAACTCTTCAACGAACCAAGGTCAAAATGTAAGTAGTTTATTGCCAGGGGTGATCAGGAAGAATATGAACTGGAAAGTTGTATGAAGAATGAGCAGAGGTGGCTATATCGTATGGGTTTTTCTTAGATGAAGAGATGTGCATGAACAATGAATCGTAGTCTTACTGGTTCTGTTTGTTGTTCCGGTGCTGGATGGTACTGTCAGACTGTGGTTCTGCTCCCAGGAAGAAAATGACCCGATAAGGAGGTGAGTCTGTGTTGAGCATGAGAGCAGGCAGGCAGTGTATGAAGGCAGAGTCCGATTACCAGAGTTTCCAACTATGCTGCAGATAGAGCAGACTTGGAGCAGATAAGAGGTTTCCAAATGCTTCCAGAGAGAACAGGTACGTCCAGGAACACGAGGAGATCACTGCATAGAGCAGGTGAGGTTAGTAATTCTCAACGTCCCAAAAAAATACCAAGGTAGATTGTTTATTCACCTTTTAGTGACCAACGATCTAAGAGAGACTTGTGGGAAGTCTCAGATTCATGAAGCAGGTTAACGAGCTGATTAGGATCAGCTGGTCCTCCGCTCAACAACACCTGAAATGACATCATTAGCCAGAAGAAGGAGCCAGAAAACACACAAACCTAACATCACCGATGGAAACTTGAATCCTTTGGGAAAAAAAACAAGTGAGACAAGAACACCCAACTCTGTTCATTTTGTGAGTTTAATACTGAGGAAACATAAACCCTGTCAGGAGGTCAGACATGTCCTACCAGAACCAAGCAGCAGGAGATGTCTGCCAGGTGAGTGTAAGATTCATACGTGCACAATCATTTATCAACACTGGTGTCAACAGCAGCAGTCCTGTCTGAGAGGTGAACCTACATGTAGTAAAGATGCCACAATAATCTTATTTCTTATTATTTATTTATTTATTTAAAATTATTATTATTATTTTTTTCCTCCCAGGCTCTCATCGAGGTGGCAGCTTCTGTTTCTCCTCCCCCATTTTCCTTCTTCCTGCTCTGCTCTCTGTGTGTCTGAAGCGCCTGGGTCTCATCTCCCGAACATAAATTAAGAAGATTATGGATTTGGTATCGTGGGCGTTCAACTCTATAGATAAGATTTTTTCATCAAAACGACAAGGTCCTGGAGAACCGGCATGTCCAGCTGAGACACACGGTGTGGGGTACGTCGTGGATTCGTGGGGAGTGTGGCAATTGATGCGCATTACAGTTTTGTCTCAGGAGGATGTTGAAGACGTTTACATATTTGGATCTATGATAGCAGGGACTCTGCTTTTTGGCAGCGGTGGGGCTCTGTTTTATCGACTTTTGAAGAAGACATCGCAGCAGTTTCGGCCATGGAAAAGCTTCCGAGTCAGTGTGAAGGTCTGGTCCTTGCTGTGGGAACTTTAAATCGTCTGGTCTACGAGCTTAACCGTAAGGTGGAGGCGATTGAGAATCGCAGACCACCTGCAGCTTCTGGGACTCATC